GATAGGTTGAAGAGACTGTAGGGTTTGGAGTGTACTGCAAGACTTAGAGTCAAAACCCCCTCTACAACCACCATCAACTCCTACCAGCACTTCGGAGTGTGCAGCTCTGGATTCCCGACGATGCCGAGGCGCTGCCGTGCTGTGTCTGCGACGATCCCGCTGAGTATCTGACTGACGAACGCCGGGATCACGCGACATTTCCTAGAGAAGAGAGAGGCTTCAGGTTTGATCTTGACCCAAGACTTCGGCAGTTTGAAGATGTGAAAGTCTACCTAGACCCTTAGATGTAGTTCCTTTTTGTGGATGGCCTATTTTTGGGTTAGGATCCTATAATACGAAACTAAGGTAACCCAAAAAAGGTACTACATTTCAGGGTCTAGGTAGTTTATGTCGGTGGTTCAGGGCTGCCAGTTGCAGTCTTTCGGGCGCTTCAGGATCTTGGCTCGGTCTCGCGGTCGTATCTGAAGGTCTCTCTCATGGGAAGTACGACAACCCTAAGGATCCAAGTACCATTATAGTAGGTCCTTAGTAGGTGCTTGGGCCCCAAAAGTATATACTAAACCCTAAACCGTAAACCCCTAAACCCTAAACTATACTACTACTTGGAGCCTTTGGGCAATACGAAGTCTTGGTTGGGCTCGGAGTAGGGATTCTCTGGTCGACCTCAGCTTTCACTAGTCCAACGCCCGGGGTTTCGGGTTTAAGGTTTAGGGTTTAGGGTTTTTAGGGCTTAGTGCTTTAAGATCTTAGGGTTTAGGGTTTGGGCTTTCACTGGAACGCTGCACATGAATGAATGCTATGGCTATGTTTTCACATGCACATATATACATGCACACATACGTAATATGCGTACCTGTGTGCGAAAAGCGAAAGATGGACAGACGTCTGACCGAATTTCTGGGCTCCCTGCCCAAACTTGCATCATGGCAGACTTCTGTGCATGCACCGTATAGTGTACCTATAAACGGCCAGAAGAGCCCCGCCCTGTTTCGGAGAGGGCTCCAGAAGGATGGGGTCCACTCTACCTGTAGTCTCCATTGTAGTTCCTTTTAGGGGTTGCCTTTTGGGATCCTTAATATAGAATTGGTTAAACCAATCAAAGGAACTACAATGGAGACTATAGGTATGATTCAGGATCTGAGTTGACGGCCCCTCATTGGTGGAATCGTCCGATGTAGGCCGCTTGATTGCTGCTTCTGATCCGTTTTACGACTGTCACTGTACTAGACAACATGTTCAGGAACGGCCTAGTAGCACGCGTCCCGATTTAGAGAGCACCACTAAGCCATGACATACGAGTGCAGTCAGTCCTCGAGCACAGCACTTGTACAACCAACAACGAATTACGTGCGAACAAAACCCATGCGGAGCTGGGTGTGCAACCCGTAAACTAAACCCCTAAACCCCCAAACCCTAAACCCTCAACTCGCATACAACCTCCATGGGAACCTTCATGGAACCCTACCTATAGTCTCCATTGTAGTTCCGTTTCGGGATTACTTTTCAGGATCCTTAATATAGAACTGGCTAAACCAAAACAGGGAAGAGGCTATAGGTAAGCCCTAAAGCCCCAGCTCCAGCTGCATCTGCGTCGCTCTGTCAATGCCGCTGCATGTGAGCAGACCCGCAAGTTGAGAGCGAGGAGCACCCTCAGCATGGGATTCCCTAATAACCCTATAACTCTAAAACCCTAAACCCTAAACCATGTAAACCCTAAAACCCTAAACCCTAAAGCCCTAAAGCCCTAAACCCTAAAACCCTTTAGGGTTTAGGGTTTAGACCCTAAACCCTTAACCCTGAGCATGGGCTTCCCTTTCAGGTTCCCTGCAGGGTATGAGGGCTTGGGGTTTAAGGATATTAGGGCTTGATTAACTAGAATTTTGGTCGCAGAATATAAATGTTCTGTACTTAATCAGAAGTTATGCAGGGACTATAAGTGGTATATGAGTGCCAAGTCTTCACGCCTCTATGTTGTGTACGGTCGCAGGGTGTCCCACTTCGCCCGGATATCCGCTGGGCTGTAGGATCGAATGTTCAGGAGTTCCCGGATTCAGTTGTGAGGCTTTGTGCCTGTGCTTATGGGGAGTTCCGTAATATATTTATAGTATACAATACCCCAAAACCCTATTCTAATCGTGAAGGCCCCTACCCAGAGCAACTCAAAACCCCTTAATTGGAGAATATACCTTCATCTATAGTTGGAACCCTAATATGATTTAAAGTATATTCCTAAACTAAGGGGGTTTAGGAGTCTCTGGGTGTGTTGCTTTTGCAAACAGTATGGAGGATCGCCACCTTGGAGGCATTGCATGAAGGTTGCTCGTATCTTTATTTTCCGAGGACCACAGGGCATACTGTGGAGACAAGGTCAGGGTTTTGGGTTTAGGTTTTTAGGGTTTCAGGGTTTATAGGGTTTATAGGGCTTAGGGTATAGGGTTTAGGGCAGTTTAGGGTGCCATACACAAACGGTACACATCAACTTCTTGGCTGCCTTGGCTTTAACAAGACACTGCACGGCGGAGTGAACTCTGGCTCTGCCGCCCTGAACGACGCAGCAAAACTCTGTGCCTAAAGTCTACACTGTTCCGCACCTTTTGACTACCGAACTCTATGCCGTAGCACGATAAACCCACAAGCTATATATATATATGTGTATATATATGTGTGTGTTGTGCATATGCGCACACACATACATGATATATGAGTGCTATATATATATATATACATACATATAACACCGCAAACGGCAAGCCCTGAACCGAAGCCCTTTACATAAATCCTGGAGCTTGAGTGGCCGATGCTAGACCCCGAAACCGTAAGACTGTATTTCGAAAATTCGAAACCTCAAGCCTTCACACCAAAATTGAAGCTTAAGCCCTAAACCTTGACAACCAAACAGCCGAGCCACGCCCTATCAGAACGACTGCGAACGCCACGAACGATACCCTAAACCCAAAGCCCTAAACCCTAAACCCTAAAACCCTAAACTCTAAACCCTAAACCTAAACCCCTAAACCCTAAACCCTAAAACCCTAAACCCTAAAACCTAAAACCTAAAACCCTAAGACCCTAAACCCTAAAACCCCTAAAACCCTAAAACCGTTGAGAAGAGGTTGTGAGCTACCGGAGAAGTCCCTCGGAAAGCTGAACAAATCGCCTGGGCCACCTGGGCCCCAAGACTTAATGGAGGGGCCTTAATAATTAGAATAAGGTTTTGAGCTACAGTATAGTATAGTATAGTATAGTATAGTATAGTTCTTTATATAAGGAACCCCCCCAAAATGAAAATAGTAGTGGTAATTATTCAGGCTCCTATATTACAATGATGAACGCTGAACCCAAGGCCCCAAATTACTCACTGCTACAACCCAGCTAAACTATCCTAGACCCAGATCTTAGTACTTTTGTGTGGGCCCTAAACCCTAAACCCTAAACCCTACCTTAAACCCTAACTGATCTCTTGCAGTTATGGGGTCCTAAGACAGAACTAGGCCTTCCAACAAAACTACTACATTGTAGGGTCTACGTAGCCAAGCTCACCCAGGAGCAACAGCCGACCCCTAAAACCCTAAGCCCTTTTGAACCTAACCCTATCTGTAAACCGAGGAGCAACAGCGGAATTGATGCCAGCGCTTCTGCGATGATGGGGTATGGTTCAAGCTCTGAGCGGAGGAGCACCTAGGAGCTGTGCATCAGAGTCCATAAATTTATATATGTATGTATGTGTGGGTGTATGTATGTATGTATGTATGTATGTATGTATGTATGTATTTATGTATGTATGTATGTATGTATGTAAGTATGTGTATATATTTAATGTACGTACATACCTATATGTATATACGGGCACGTAGGTAAAAGTGATTATAAGCATACACACCCGTGTACATGTTTATATACATATACATACACATATATGCCTATGAATATGCGTATGTATATGTATATGTACATGTGTATGTACTTATGTACGCATGCTTACGTGTATGTAACTGTTTATGTATACCTGCATGTAAAGGTATAATATACGTATATATATATATATATGTATACCAAGACCTTCCGATTAACGCCTTTTGCCTCAGGGATAAAGAAGTAACGTATTCCATTGGCTTTGGGGATCTAGAAGCGCAAGGAACAATTGTTGGGGGCTTGATTAAAAGGATTTGAAATTTGACTGAATGATGACACACTCGATTCTTTTGCCACCGCAGAGTCTCTGCTGCAATCACCATTGGTGAAACAACGATTTCTTATGCCATCGAACACCAACAAAAGAACCATAGCGATAAAGGACTTGTACTCCAAGCCCTTGGGGATGACATAATGTCGCCGTCATCTTGATCCGTCCCACCTAGGTTGCTAAATTGTGCTTGCAGTATGACTATATTTATATCGATTACCCGAAGCTGCAGTAAAGCAGCCATGTCTTCATCGGCATACGTGTTCGTACGCAGAGGGCTTGTGACAGCCGATTGATCGTAGATTAAATGCTCTAGCCTCAGACAGATTCGAGAACTCAGACTATAAAATTTGACAAGTCTCCTAAAAATTGGTTACCCGATGGAAGCCTCGGTGTGTCGATCATGGGCTCGCCACTGGGTGGACTGGAAACTCGGTGGATGCATCGCTGTCGACCTTTGGCTGAAATATTATATGGAGGTAAGCCAAGTAGCCGATGCAGCTTCGGACGAAGCTTGAACAAAAGCTTGGATTCTTGGAGCGCATGGTGGGCACAATCTTGGATAAGCAGGGGATTCAGGGCCAGCCCCAATTAATGAAAGCTCAGATATGCAGCCGAAGCACAGTTGTAGCTCGCACGAAAAAGGACATAGTGTGTCTCCAGTCTTCGTCTGATTTCTGCTGGGAGGAAAAAGTTGTGACCCGATATCACTTCTCTCATCCCTGCCAAATTAACGAAGATTGCTGCCAAATTCCTCGGTCCCAAAAGAATCACTACCAGCTATACCCTGACCTGACCTATATAATTATGAGCCATTTCATCCAATCAGCAGCCAATAGCGCTCAGGATGTGTGTGCGAGAACTGCACGGTGATGGAGCGAAGCCACTTGACCATAACCACGGATTCCTCGTACGATAGGATTTATAAAAACACCCCAGACTAAGTTGCAAGCGTAGCCACTACAGCAAATTAAGTAGCGGTCGGCACCACTAAGATGCTTCTGCGACAATGTTGGATATACCCCCGGGGCCAGTGACTTCAGAGTTTTCAATGAGAAAGGCGGCGCTCGGTTTCCTTAGGTTGGCAATAACATGACGTGTCGGGTACTGGGTTTGTGTACTATAGCTAGTCCAACCACTGCTAGCGAGTCACTGATTTGTTCCTGCTTGCATGCCTGCGCAAACTCCCGGTAAGCAAGCTCCAGCCGGAGCTCTTGAGTTCGGGCTGGCCAAGGGCTGTTGGCCGACTTCGTCAATTCTAGCAGTGCCTCAGGCAAACCAAACCGAATCCCGCCTAGACCCCACCCCGCGAAACTATAGGCTTCCACGAATCTGAGTTCCAATCCGATGCACAAGCATCAGGAGCAATAGCCAGATCAACCAGGTGTAGCCAATCCTCCCATATTCGCTCTACAGCGAAGCCTGGGAGGGCGATCCATGGTGAGTAGCCACACTTGGACCGGATAAACTCGGCCGTTGAGTAGATCCTTAGGTTGCATGCATAATTTCCAGGATCCATCCAATTATCGAGCACAGAGTAGGATTTTCGGCAGTAGCTAGCTATAGTCGTAGCCGGGCTGCGTTGATCGATGTTGCGCATGAGATCCGAAGTGCACATATCCCAAAGGGGAAGAACCATCCTTCTGAGCCTGGGTATGTACATTATATATTTCTATCGATCGTGTAGACCCTACGGCCTACGGATATGCAAGCGAGAATCTGCACATGAACGACAAACGTCTTCGCTCGTCCAGTAGTTCTCATACTTGTAGCAAGCATGGAGATATTTTTGGTCCCCTTTGTGACCCGCGAAAACGAACCGGAAAGGTCCAGCGATTGGTCTCCCAGCTTTTGCATACAGGGCAGGCATGTAGTTTTCATCGAATTGCCGGCCATGCCAGTCATGATCAAGATATACCCCAGCGGCAGCACACACCAAGCCCCAACAAATCCATTCATCTATCTCTGTTGCGGTAGATTCTCCAGCAGTGCTATTATCGAAGCAACTCAGCAACAACTTGTGGTCCCAAGTTGCGATACCTGGACCCAACAATGCCGAGGCAACTGTGCATATGGAAAACGACCTGCGCTTATGCATCTCGGCATCATCGCCGTGACATTCTAACGGGATGATGAAGTTCAGTTGTTCCTTCGATAGCCGCGAGAGGAGGGGGTGCTCTTGGAACCAAGTGGTCTGTCGGTTGGCCTCCCAATACTCCGAGAGACTTTTGTCAGGTTCAGGTCCCAACAGCAGTGCTTGGAATAGATCGATATCATAAGAATACAAAGAACTCAGCCTCGGCTAAAGCTGTAGTCGTGCTGACACCATATGCTACTAGTGAAGCCGAGCTGCCAATCCGGAACCAAAAAAACCGAGTGCGGGCCCAGAAAGTGCGGCTCGTTCTGCTTCCGATCTACCTCAACCACTGCATGCACATCCATCACAGTCGATCCTACGAGTCAGTAGCTACTCGTGCAGACAAGTGGCCTGGTTGACATGGATCCTAGGCTGGTCAGTTTCGGCTTATAAGCATAATGGCATACAGGCATGCATACAGCTTAAATTGGGACAAGATTCGTTGTTGGTGGTGGCAATGCTTTCATCCAGTTCTGCCGCCGTAACCAGTTGCGAAAGTTTCGCTGCACATTGGCATCGGTAACTGTGCATTCGGCCAAATCCAAGAACTCTTTCCTTATAGGATGAAGCAGATATGATGTGTGTAAGTAGGGTGCACTTAGCCCAATGCGGTTGCAGCTAGGTCTCTCCAAGAAAAGAGGGGGTATCCGCTTGTGCACGGCTTGCACGAAATCTCTAATCGTCTGCACAGATATTCGTCGAGATAATTCCAGAAACTCTTCCATCATCCCGTACACCTCCCCGGCCTGAGCTTTTCAGGTATGTGGGCAACCGGGTCTTATACATGAGCTCTCTCGGGCCTTGCTGCACTTGGAAGGAAGGGTACTTTGGGCCATGGCTATTTCGGATAGGGGTCAACATGGCCTGGAAAGCCTAAAGTTCGGCACATGGTTCGGGTATAAAAACCAGCAGCTGAGACATCAATCTTGGACTATAGGAGATTTCACAAGAGCGGGTTTAGGGTTTAGGGCTTAGGGTTTAGGGACATTAGAGGCTGGGGCTTATGATTGCCAGATGATAGCTTAAGTTATACGGGCTCGAGATTGATAGTGCTCTTTGGGTTGAAACGAAGTTTAATATAGGTCATGGGACTTCGGATATGAATATTATAAGAGGGCTTGGGGTTTAGGGTTTTTGGGAATCTGTAGTTTGGGCCGCACGGGGATTTGCGCATCAGCTTTCGATTGACCGCATGAGTCGATTAATCGTGCATGCATCGGATGCCATAGAGCTGCGAACGCTGATCGGCCCCTCCTGTTTTCAAACCGTCGCACTGATCTGGGGTCGAGGTCCTGACGGGTCTAAGCTTTGACTTTCTCCCCAGCAAAGCAGCCGGTCTGACCAGACATAATTAAGCAGGAACGGCATCATGTGTGTGCGCATGATCGCACAGAGGGGCCCGGAATTGCAGAGTGGCAGACTGTAGATATTGCGTTCAGTAGCCCCTTGAGTACCTTAAGCCCACACCACAAAACCCCCTAAGCCCTCAGCCCCGAAACCCTAATTAACACACCAGCAAACTCCATTTGCCCTTAAATTATAACTTTTACCGGCTAATCATTAAAAGTGGTTTAGGTTTTAGGGGTTTGGGGTTTAGGGTTCAGTAGACGAAGTGCTAGGTGGCAAGAGAGTGCAGGAGTCCCAAGACAAATTATGTGACCTCAACCTTGACCCTTCATTAGCCTAACCCTTGCATCGCCGAATGCTCTTAAAGCTTTAGGCCCGAGTCACAGCTAGTAGCCACTTGCAAATCCCAGGTTACTGCATCTACCTTCGATCGACGATCAGGACTCTTTGGCCTTTGGTGCTTTCTTATCAGCAGCAGTCTTGGCCTTCTTCGGCTTTCGTCGAAGGGCCTCCTTAAGATCATCTTCGATTAAGGCAGCCTTTTGGGAAAACTCTTCGAGGGGAACCTGTAGCTCTGAAGCCTTGGACTCTTCAAACACTTTCTCCATTTGCTTGATCTCAGCGGGCAGCTCACTTCGGAAGGTCGCCAAGCTATGCACCTCAGGTGGATGGAGAAGGTTATGTTGGGACGGGTTGCCAGGTTACATTACACCAAGACACAAGCTCCTTGTTGTGCTTGCCGGCACCAACGTCGCGCAAACGCTCAGAGATCTTCGCAGAGTAGCCACGAAACCTTAGTTGGGGAAACGGGTTGTATAGGCAGGTTGCTGCGGGGGCGCCAGCGGTTTAGCTATGGCACTTCTTGAGAAGCTTCTTAAAGTCGTCAACGATCTTGTCATCGCCGGACAGGATTTTGGCAGCCGGGTTTTTGTGGTTCTTCTTATTCAGCACAATCTTGCCAGTCTCAACATCCAGGAATTGGGTGTTGTCTAGGGCTTTCAGCCCACTCTTCATCTGCTCGCTCAAAGCTTTTTTGGAAGCTTTGTCCGAAACAGTCCCAGCCAGGCCTAGAGAAGTCTCACCCCTGTGGCCCTTCCTGTGTTCCTCCAGAATTTCCTTGAGTACACGGTAAAGTCTCGCCTTGGCAATCTTCGGGGCCTGGGGATGTGGGGTCCCCTTCTGCCCTTAGATGGTCAGGAGCAGTCGACGTGGATCCATCGATGAGATCATGGAAGGCACAACCCATTCAAATCCGAGTTGCCCTTGATGAGCTCTTGGATGAATTCCTTGGCTTCCTCACTCTCGCCGAACTCTTTTTCGAGCTGAAAGATAGTCATTGTAACATACTTGTCGGTGGACAAATTCTCCACCACCTTCGTGTACCTTAGCTATCGGATAATATCGATCTAGAGGTGCGAAGGTTTATTAGTTAGCCTGGCAGCTTTTCTTCCACGTAGATTGCACCAAGGTCCCCATCGTGCAGCATCCACTCCCGAAGCATATCAAACCTTAGTCGTTCTAATGACACGTACTGGCATAGGCTGTGGGACTGTTCACATTGTCCCATCATCGGGCCCCGGAGCTTGGTTGAATCGTCAGCACCGCTGAACTTCGCCACGAGCGCTGCGTGCATGTCTCCCTGGCTTTTCAGCTGACGACCCATGGCAGCGAACTGCCGTTTGCGTTCAGCTCGGGGCATCGCCTTAGATGTAACTGAAGCCCCCCTACCCCAAACCTCTATAAGCCCTACGAGACAAGCCCGGTAACTCAAGGGATCTTTAGGTATATTGCATGCAGGGCACACTGGGCCCGGCCATATTTTTCAAGGCTTCCTTCTGAGTATCGCTCAGCTTGATAGCCCTTGCCTGCACACAACACCCAAATCCGGAATTATACCCTAGACGAGTGACGAGTGCATCCAGCGATTAAACCGAACCCAGGCCTCCTGTGGACTCTTAGGCTTGGTAGGCTTTGGGCAATCTTTGGGCGAGGGTGTGGCAGACGGTTCGGAAGAGCTAGGGGTTGGCACTTCGGTTAAGCTTGTAGATTTCGTCGATGGAGGTGTCTGGGCGGCGTCCACGGCACTTTCTACGTCGATGCTTGCAACCGTTGCTTGGCGCTCTATGGCCTTGTATGTTCCAGGGTTGAAGAATCTGGCCATGGACTTGGGGTTGAGGTTACGGAGCTCGGGCTTCTCGGGTTTCTCTCCACTCGCCGGGGCATCTTTTGCGCGGGGGGGAGGGGTCTCGGGAGGACTTCGCTCCTCAAGCTTCGGCTCAAGGTTCGCATCCTTCCCATCCTTCTTTTCCTTTGGTTCCTTCTTTTCCTTCGGTTCCTTCTTTTCCTTTGGTTCCTTCTTTTCCTTTGGCTCCTTCCTTTCCTTTGGTTCCTTCTGTTCCTTTGCTTCCTTCTTTTCCTTTGGTTTCTGCTTTTCCTTTGGTTCCTTCTTGTCCTTCTTGTTGCCGGTTTCGGCTTCAAGCAACTCCTCTAGCTCCTTGTCGATATCCAATTCTTGCTCCTTGTCGACATCCATCTGCGGTGCGTCTGTTTTGACACGCTTCGCTGCCGGCTCGGGCGTCGTCGTCGGGCTTTCGGCTCGCTTCTCGGTGATGTCCGGCTTCTCGCTGCTTTTGGGCTTCTTGGTGGCGGGCTTCTTGGAACTTTGGGGTGTCTCGCTGATTTGGGGCTTGTCGGAGCTTTTGGGCTCTGAGGCGGGTTTCTCGGCAACGGCGGGCTTCTCGCTGCTCTTGGGCTTCTTGGCGGCGGGCTTCTCGGAACTTTGGGGTGTCTTGCTGCTTTGGGGCTTCTTGGAGCTTTTGGGCTCTTCGGCGGGTTTTTCGGCAACGGCGGGCTTCTTGCTGCTTTTGGGTTTCTCGCTGCTTTTGGGCTTCTCGCTGCTTTTGGGCTTCTTGGGCTCGGTCTTCTCTTGCGGTTGCTTCAAGCTGGCTTTCTCAGCAGCCACCAGAGCCACCACAGCTTTCGAAGGATCCCCTTGGTTATCAACTAGGGCTTTGCACACAGCATCCCGGCAAAATCCCATCTTAACCAACTTCTCCACGCATTTGCTTTCATCAATTTTCTTTCCAGTCTTTCTACGTGGCAGCGCAGCACTGCCGGACGATGGCAGGCCCAAACAGCCACTCTTCCTCAGTGCTGCGTACATTATGTTTCGCGCACGCAGCTAGCAGTATAGTGTGAATGGTGCCAAGTTACGAGGCAGCAGGTGCCATGGTGATGCCTTTTAGGCGACCTTGACGCTAGATAGCAATAGGGGTTTGCTACTTCGCGCATGCACAGCACCGATTTCAATAGATAAGGGCCAGGCTTCAGGTGGTTTCCCCCGATCAGGATCACACTCGCCGGCAAAATGCCGTGCTGATTGGGCCCAAGTAATGCGACACGGGGTGACACGCTAAGTAACGCTTTCCTGTCATTTCCAAGGGGGGGGTGACACGGGGTGACACGGGGGTGACACGCACGCTCGTTTTCACGACCTAGCACAATCTTTCCCGTTTTGCGGTCGCATCTAAGAGACGTTCTTGATCGACGACAGCTTCCAGCCAGCTCGACCCTTCAAAAGATCGTCTATGCAGTCGTCATCGCTACCTTCATCACTTAAGTCATCCAAGGTTGCATCGAAGTCCATCTGGGTAGTCTCGAAGGAGTTTTGGCGGGCTTCTGCAAACCTTGCTAAAGTTCGGTGCAAGGCTCGTTGTGCCCAAGTGGATCGGTGGGTATGCACGAAGCTACGCGAGAACTAATCTTGGATAAGGCACAGTGCTGCAACCGCCATGCCGAAAGATGCTGGGTATTCCTGCGTATCCACCAGATCTCGGCCCCCAACCTGAGATGTTGGAGTCGGGCTTGGTTCCAGGGCGTTCGGATTAATAAACTATAGGCAGCATGGGCAGATGTAGGAAACTCCAATACAAGCAAACCAGAACGAACTGCAAAGTGCAATCCCAAACCGAACCGCCCCCTATCTTGTCCTAAGGTTGATTGTTTGGGATTGTGACGCTTGTGCTTCATGCTCGGAATCCCAGGTGACAGCCAACTCGTACGACATGTACCGCCGTCTGGACATAAAGGCTCGCTGTTGTTTCCTACTTGGTATATACTCAGGAAACCACTAATGCTGCCATAGACCGTCGTGGCTAGTCTTGGTAGCTGGGATACATTCCTGTATATACCCAATGTTCGCGAAATGCACTCGGTTGGTCATAGATAAACATACGACCAGAACGTGGGCGACTTAGGTTAGGAGTAACTTTAAGCTGTTTAGGGTTTAGGGTTATAGTAGTGACCCGTAGTGACAGTGTCCTTCGGAGCTGTGGCACCGCATTCAATATGAGTCGCGAGGGGTAGAGCTTAGGGCCTATTGAGCTATTGTAAGAGTCGAGAAGATCAGGGCTTAGGGCCTTTTGTGGGTCTAAGGTTTAGAAGATGATTCGTAAGAGTGAAAGAGCCGGGAAGCTAGGGTCTAGGATCTTTTGAGGGTTTCAGGATGGATCTATAATTGACTCAAAGAGATCGGGAATATTAGGACTCAGGGCCTCTTGTGGGCTTCGGGGCTGTCTTCGGTTAGGGTTGTCGAAATCTTTCGATGTATCTTGCATTAATTTAAAGACCAGGAGTGCAACTCCATGCAAAACGTCAATCGGACCTGGCGGCAAGGGCGTCGACATCAGCTAGCTTGTGCTTTCGACGCCGACTGAAAGTCCCAGCCTTCTTAGATCGTAGTTTCCAGATTGCGATCACCCTGCCTCATGTATGCACTTGGCCGTCAGCCCGCTACGCCAGGGAGCTATTAATAGCATTAATGTGGCCAAATCTAAGGTTTAGAAGATCACTCATGATGCAGGTTGTGGATGATGCGCTGCAACTGAGAGCGAGTTTTCCGAAGTCGTGCCTAGCATAAGCAGATATATCCTCCAGAACCGAAGATCACCCAAAAAAATATATCCCCAATCTCCTCTAACCTGATTTCCCCTAGGACAATGGATCCCTAGACCTTGGGTCTGAAACACGGGATGGCAATTCTCCGATTCCGAAACATCGCCTCCAGGTCCTTGCTCGCCTATGCACGATCTATCTGTACTATATAACCCCTAAACCCTAAACCCTGATATGCTAGGCTATATACATCTAACAAGACCCTCGAATTCGGATTGCTTGGATGTACTTATGTGCTGGGCAGTAGTGACCTTGGTCCTAGTGTTCCAGCTAGTACACACAGGCTTCAAAATCTAGGCTATCAATTCCGGCTCTAATTGGTCGGTATATACGACTTGATAACTCAACAAGACTCGTCTCGGCTAGGTTTGTTGACTGTCCGAGTCAATAGAAATATCCCGGTGGACTCGGTGCTTCTTCTCGGCGACGACTTCGGGGTTCAGATCGCAATGCTTAGGGTATAAGGATTGATTATTTTAATCTTAAGATTCATACCATAGACTACTTGCTTGCGGATCTCAGGCCGTAACCTTATGGATCTCAAGCCCTAACCTTAAGCCTCAAAACGCTGAACCCTAACCAGGACGTGACAATCGGACCTATAAAGTAATACCTCAACATATAGCTTATATTGACGTATTATTTTATAGGTCCGGTTGACACGTCTTGGAAACCCGACACAGATCCCAAGCCCTAACCTTGAACCTAATCCAAAATCTTAAACCCCTGTACGGTTACCCGCAAATAGCAAATTCTCATAAACCCCAGAACCCTAAATAGACTGAAAAGACTGTAATCAAGCTCGCTCCAGCCGGAATTACACTAAGCCCTAAAACCCCATTCCCATACCAAATTGAGTTCTTGTCAAAGTAGAATCCCCTTCAGTGAACTTTCGATGTATAGCACCCGGCACCAACTCGATGAAATCCAAGTAAGAAACTGATGATCGACCCTGCTGATGTTTACAACGACACCCCGTCCAATTGGAAGACTAGGAGCAACCTTCTCTCGGCCGTCATCCCCAATGTATCGCCTGGTAATTTGCAAACCATCACCTTTAAGATCCTGTAAGCGCTGCTTGTTCAGCTTCGAGATGTGCCGCCAGAGGGAGGCCATGTTAGGCAAGGTTCCAAAAAGCCTGGGCTAGTCTAGCGGGTGTGGTTATAGCTGATCAGATTAATTTGGTTTCAGAATTCTTGGAGCTAGTCTGGGATGGAGGTTTGGGCATCCTATGTCTGCACGATCGTGTCTAGGCCCTAGGCCATGGGTCTCATTAAAATTTGCGGTCGAGGAACTGAGTGGGTTTTCGGCTTGGTGCACCATATGCACACATCGAGAAAGAAAACAAATGTGCATTTGTTTTGAACATGAGTCGCCGCATAGGCCTATAATCGAAAAGAAGACTGCGCACAGGCTGCTCGACCATAATGAAGTGGCCCAGCTTCCAGGCCATATACAGCCTCAGATACATGCACTATAAATAACACTAGCGGAAGCTTGCGATCCGTGTCATGCGTAAGCCGGCAAGCAGCACATACACCATTCGGCGAACGAATACATTCGCACGTCGAACCTTCATCAATCGATTGCCAAAACCAGCAGGCCGCTCGAGTCGCCTGCCCGTACTCCCTCGACTCCTTAATGCTCGTATACAAGTTGACTCGATCACACAGATGGCGCTATGCTGATCGAGGTGCATCCAAATCCAAGAGCTGCAAGGAGGGGCGAACCACACGAGTCCTGGCCGGCGAAGGTTTCGAACCTGAGCATCGTCGAAATTATTAGGAATCGACGGGGCTCTGTATCTCGAGATCTACTTGCATTCAGGAAGCTGCTGTCAAAACTGCCATGAAACCAATCGTCCGCATAAAGTCGTGGTTTCGGGAAAATTTGGCCTTAGAGCAAGCATACTTAAACAGCGAAGGGCACCGGCGATTGTATGCAGCCTCGGGGCATCCATCGGCTTCCCAGCATATCCGAAAGCAGTGAGCGAGTCGGTCAATGCCTCGGCTGTCTTACACGATACCGTCTATAGTTGCCTGTGCTAGATAATATTATGTAAGACAAGCGGCATGTTTCCCGGCGCATATCTCGATCTTGGTTCGGTACGATCCATGATAGGCTAAGTTCGTGCAGCATAATTAGACTAGCTGCAATCTACCTGTATGCGGTCTAGTATCGAAGTCAAGCCGTTGTTCGGGGAGAGGCACTTGAAGTGCCGCTTCCAGCACTGGACGTAGGGTGGACGGCCGCACACATAGTGCACGACCAAGAATAACAGCCGCAAGCACCAAAAGCAACATGTTTGGTACATTATTCCTTGATCCAAATTGCCCCAATATATGTAAGTGCCATGCAACAGGGTGCAACCTCTCACAGAATGAGAACTTGCTCTGGCATACCAGGATTTGCGATTTTCACCCAGCAAGCCGAAGAAACAAAATTTCGGATCTAACCGAACAGTTCTGATAGAATCCAGCAGCAGCACCAGCATCATGCTCAAGATTATTACTTGCCAGCAGAACGTGCGCTGCCGGATCCCTCTGACTCTGACTCTGACTCCTCTTCGGATGGAGCTGCCGGCGGAGCCTGAAAAGTACGGATGCACGAAGGTTTCCGGGCTAGGGCTAGTAGGGTTGGTTTCAAGCTCATTCTAGGAACTGAATGGGGTACGCATATGCACCAATCGTCACTCTTTCTTTGATATGATCTTTGAAAATTTCGTGTCACCTATTCTTATTAATGTGGGTTGGATCACACGCTATTTGCATTGAACGGGCCTCCTTCTTCGCCTTGTTGGCCTTTCTGGCGCTCTGGATTTTGGCCTCAATTCTTGGTTCAGACTTCTTATGAATTTAAAAGATATTAAAGCATACACGGGCTATGGCTTCAGGCGACAAGCTATGCAACCTAGGCACAGACCTGGCTTTGTACATCAGAGCCTTCCTCTCGGCTTTCACACCCTCAGCCTCCTGTCCCTCCAGCACCCGCACGATGTCACCATCATCATCCACAAACCCTTGCTTTTCGGCTTGGGGAACACTCGTGTACAGCGTGCCGGAAGGAGCCCAGAAAACGAAGTATCCATTGCCGGCATGTTTGCCTGCACATGAAGCAGTAAAGGAGTATGCACACAAGACAGCTCGGACCCAGGTACACACAACTTGCATCCAAGTACCTTTTGGCCGAATCTTGGATTCCCTCAGCCATCCAGACGAATATACCGCGACACCTGCCTTCGTAATCTTCTTCCTTGGCTTAAATGGAATTCCAGCTGACATCATTATGCCTATTTCGCATCCGCTCTATTTGGATTCATCCGAGTATCTCGGCACGTTTCTTGGGCTTGGCTTTGGCTTTCTTGGCTCGCTCGTTCTTAATCAAGTCAAGCTGTTCTGCGGGAGTCAACACAGGATGGTTCACACTCTCCAGCGCAGCCTTCTGAACACGGTTGATGTCTGCAGCAGGCAGGCCCGATGCTTTGAAGGAGGATGGGACAAACTCGCACCCCTTCGTCTCATCCTGCAAGATTAAATTCAATATATGTGAAATCGTGTATGATGCGTGGCATACATACTAGCTCAGGCTGTCCTTCGTGACCTCATCGTTCTCAGAAAACTCCAACTGCCGCTTGGAAGAGAGATGCTCACCACCCTCCTTAGAATCACCCACGCTCATCGACCTAGCCTGGACCACCAAGTCTTCCAGGAAAGCCAGCTGGTCGTTCGAGTCGGACCCATCATCATCCTCAGCGGAGCTTGCATCCTGAGGTGCCCCGTCGTCTTCACTTGCACCATCATCATCCACGGCGGGGCTTGCATCCTTAGGTGCCCCATCGTCTTCATTTGCAGCGGATCCATTATCATCCCCGGCGGGGCTTGCATCCCTAGGTGACCGGTCATCTTCATCTGCATCGGATCTATCATCATCCGTCCCGCTGCGGCTCGCCGCTTTCTCAGCCACCTGCACCGGTGGCTCAACTTGGAGAGGCTCAGACAAAGCCTCCAGTCGAAGCTTGGCACGTGCCTTAAATCAAGGTTGCATTCAACTTATACATGATCGCACATCATGGCACGGGTACCGAATATTATTGCGGCAAAGCTTCCCCATGTTCCTCAAGCCAAGCATTCCACGATAACACATCTTCGACCGGTGCGGTTCCGAACATGCTCTTCTCGGAATGATAGTCGGCACTCCCGACTTGAAAATCTTCGAAGAAGGGAAAAAGCTCATGAGATCGGATGCTCCCCAAGATGCTCTCAACTACCTTCGGACTGAAATCCGCGAACCTCGCCCGGAAAGTAGCCTCATCATCCTCATCTGCGGAGCCAAGATCCTCACCTGAAAGGTCTGCATCGGCATCGGAAGCAGCGTCCTCGGGACGCTCTCCAGATTCATGATCTGAGCCAGAATCTGAGCCATCATCTGGCTCCTGACCGGGTATATTTCACAAATGTATCTCGATACATATGTTTGCTGCTGTCTATTGATCTTGGAAAGGCTCCTCGACAACCAAGGTGTCTTGATTATCCATCGTGCAGTCTGCCGCCTATCAACATACAGGTATAATGGATGGGGCTTGTTTGTACTAGCTGCTAGCTAGATCCCCGCCTTGCGCTTGTTGGCCTTGCAGCGAGATACCCGGGCGCTGGCCCCAATCCTCTTGAACAACTCGCAGGCCTTGTCCGCCTGCATGACATTTATCGTACACATGGCCATGACTGCACCGACCCCTCGGATCCCTCAAACTCATGGAAGAAAATGCCTCATCCGCTGCCCAGCGGCTGAGGTTCACCCTGTCATCACCTTGTGACAATGGTAGAAAACGATCGGATGCAAAGCCACATATGAATACACATGAACGAGTCCCGTAGTATGCTTCAACCGAGTCGCACAAGCCGTACTGCTGTGCCAACGTTCGCAACACTTCTGCGACATGCTTCTCCGAAGGGACACGGGTAAACTCACATGCTTCATAGGCAGCCCTCATCCACTCATTTCCCTTTCTAGTCAATCGCCCACCAGGGCAGAATGAGCATTTTGATCGCACCTCTTGCCTCAGCTGGTGCGTACTACAACCGGGCTATCAAACACAGCCTACTTTGATCATCAGCAACTGCAGCAAAGTGTCACGTTCATATGCGTATACAGCTCCACGTAGAGCTGCTGCAGGCTCTTGCTGAGGTGCTTCAGAGCTCTGGGTGCTTCATAGTTAGTCTCAGGAAGCGACGCCGTCGAGGCTAGAGATTCATAGGATCGGGACGGCATCGCGCGACAGCACTGTCGCCGAAGCATGCAATTTACGAGAGCTAATCTACCCCAATCCTTCAATATCATCACCAGACTGAAAATTCTCGGCTTTATCTTTGATGAAGCCCGATTCGTGTTTCGCATGCGTGGTGCTTGAATGGCAGCACTTGATCAAAATGCGTCTCGGAAAGCGAACCTTCGAATCAGCATGAGACCGATCATACATAATCAGATGAGGACTCCCTAAAGCATTACTTTGAAAGTAACGCTTTCAAATACATTACTTGTCTTTCCCGGGTTGGGAAAGCATTACTTGGATGCTCCTGGTATATAGGTATGCATATGTACTGTGTACACATATGCATGCGTGCGTGTGCAGATGTACATACACACACATGCATATATCCACATATATATATGTATACAGTTAACTATCCCTGTGCATATATACATGCATATGTACATGTGTGTGTGTGTATGCATGCAGACGTACGTACTTACTTACATACATACAGACAGACGGACAGACAGACAGACAGACAGACAGACAGACTACATGCATGTAGGTTCGTGTGTGCGTGTGTGTGTATATATATATACATGCATGTGCTATTAATGCACATATTTGATCATGTTTGCTTCCTTTGACTGGAACGGGGGAGGAGGGGGCGGGTATGTTGGGAGGATCTATACTGCGATCTACTTAGGCTCACCAAATCCCTCATGTAAAACCCTGATTCCTTTAGCCCCGTGTTCAGCAGGTTTTGGGAGGTCCTGCCGTGGTGCTAAATGTCTTAGGGCTCTAGGACGAGGCCTAGAACTCCGGAGGCCCTGAACTGAGAAAAGAATAGGTCTCAATGAGCAGAAAAGTTGTGGGGGGGGAGGGGGGGGAGGGGCTTCGGCTGTATATTCATTCAAAATTCTCTTATGATTACCTCAAGCGAATGCTAGGGAATAGCAGTAAATTAGTTCGGCGTCCAAAAAGAACTGAGACCTAAAATCACATGAAGGATCCCTCAGTGCTGTAGCTTATGGATGCTTATGGTGCATTCCTCGTAGAAGGGATTTGGAGTCTCCGCAAGGGTTTCTTGGAAGCTGCTTGAGCAAAAGGACCCTACTCAAAGGATCAGAGGAACTTTAAAAAGCAAAGTTACACGTACCGTAGCACTTAGAACTATAAGTTACGGTAGCTAATCACAAGGTCCCATGATGTGCTCAGTCATACCAAACCGAAAAATCCTAGACATTCCCTATAGTGTCCATTGTAGTTCCTAGTTCCTTTTTTGGGTTTGACCAATTCTATATTAAGGATCATAGAAGGTAAGCCCAAAAAGGAACCACAATGGAGACTATAGGTAGCCCTAAAGCCGAACACCCCCAAGTGACCCCCATTTCTAAAAAGGCCACCCTTTCCCCTATGAAATTCCAACCTTTGCGAAGGAGAGGCTGCGGGAAGACGTAGAAACGCTGCAGACACGCGTCAAATACAGGGGCCTGCACAATTAGAAGAGGGTTTGGGGGACATGTTGTAGAATCGATCTGATTAGGAACCCTGCGGAATAAGCACTGCCCAAAAATAATAAGGCTTCTACAGTGCTACAGTTCTACATATTAGGCAGCAAATGGCCCAGCAAGTGGGGGCGAGACCCGAAACATCAACCCTGAAGCTTAAACCCCCGATTGGCCAAGCGACATCAAAGAGCTTCACCAGGAAAAGGACGAGGCCGAAATAGCCCATGCCCTCAGGTAGGGGGATTGGGGGTTCAGGGCTTCTGCTTGTTGTTGAGTTTATCGGTCTCCTACCGATAATCGGTTTCTTAGGATGTTCAGCGATTTACTTTTGTGTTGCGTTTACTGTGTGCGTGTGGGGGGTTAACCTTTTATTTATTTGGGTATTTATCTTGTCCCCGGACGGGATCCGTCCAGTATACGCTGAAGAATACAGTCACTTGCAGTCTCTCATGTGCATTGTGTATATTACACACACAGACAGATATATATATATATATACAGACACAAACTTGTCATTAACACATGGTTTCAGATGCTTCTTTATCTGCCGATGATTCGTTTGCTGCTTCGGTAGATTGACCCTTTGGAGAACGCGACTTTCACTGGAATCAGGGTTCACGGAGTTGCTGGATAGCCCCTTCACTCCTGATGGCCCCTACATCCCTACATTTGACACACTCAGGTCCTAAAGTGTCCTAGACAGAGGGTCACGGCTGTCGGGATAAGTACGGCGTCTGCAACACAGGATTTGAGTACGTGAATTAACCCTTGATGAATCTGAAGCTTCTCTGACTGATCCCGTTGTCGTGAGTTGACTTGTTGACTGCAGCAGTGCTTCCACAAAAGAAAAGGCGGTCCCACACTTGACGCGCGATGTCCCAGCAAGCAGGTGTTGCGTATCCCTTGCAGTGCACCAAATGTTAAGACGTAAGAACTGTAAACTTCCAATCTGCGCACACGAAACCCCCTAAAACCTAAACCCTAAACCCCCAAACCTGACGTTGACCCCAAACTGCGAAACCCCAAAGCCCCAAACACCAGAACTCCGTGGAAATGCACCTAAAGGACCCATACTGCAAACCACCAAACCTCTAAACCACAAATTCATTCTCCTACATGTATCCCTGCCACCGAAAGCCCTGCCGCCTGACCTCAACCCAAAACCCTTGATAGAACCCCTTATTATAGGAAGCCCTTACACCCTAAACCCTCAACCCCAAACCCCTAAACCCTAAACCCCTAAACCCCTAAACCCTCAGCCCTTAATCCTAAACCCCTAAACCCCAAGCCCTAAACCCCTAAACCCCTAAACCCTAAACCCTGCACCCCCCGGCCCAGGCCGGCCTGCGCAATGGCAAGGGAAAAGGCGAGCTCTCGGCCAATAGCCTTCAAGAGCGCTTGTAGCAAGTTCCAGCTCTGGATGCCTCCGAGGGTTTAGGGGTTATAGGGTTTATAGGGTTTTTAGGGTTTAGGGTTTATAGGGTTATAGGGCTTGTAGGGTTTAGGGCTTAGGGTTTAGGGTTTATAGGGTTTGTAGGGTTATAGGGTTTATAGGGTTTATAAGGTTTAG